AAGCCCGTCGCCCCGCGCGGCGCCGCCGCGTGGCCGGCGGAAGAGAAGTTGCGCTTCCGGCTCGCTTCGGAGGAGGCCCTGGACGTGCAGCCCGCGGCCAGGCGGCTGCGGTGCCCTCCCCGCCGCCGGCGGGCCTTGCTTGCTGCAGGAGGGGATCGTATCGAATCCGTATATATATATAGTACAGCATGGGAGAGGGAAGGGGAAGGGACACGGCAGGACACGTGTGAAAAGATTGGGGGCCTTGGGGCCTTTGTTGATTTTTCGTGTCTCCCTGGGCCTCCTCACTGCTGCCCGCGGACGGATGAGACGCCCTGCAGTTGCCCGCCGCTGCTGATGACCGGTGCGGGCCGTTTGCTGCCGCCGCTGGAGTTCGACGCTCTTCGGACGTGTTCGTCTGTTTTCCGCGGGTTCCTGGCCTCAGGATGCTTTCCAGCGGCTGCGTCTCGCCGAGAGCGTTCTGGGGGTGTTTGGATCGTCCCAAACGGCTTCCGGAGAGCCGAGACGTGACCCGAGAACCTAGGGGAAACGTTAAAGGGGGGGGGACGTCGGTGGATCGGGGTGGCGCGCCCTCGCCACCAAGTCGTCTCCTTCCCAGAGTTCTCGTCCCCGTTTTCCTATTCCTCCTCTTCCTGGCGCTCGGGTGCGTCTTCATTCTTTTCCATCTCCCCCTTGTCCTCCTCTTTTCTGGCGCAAGTGGCCCAGGACGGGCGCGCGCGAGCGCCACCCTCGCCTTCCGCGGGGCTCCCCCCATGGAGTTCGCAGGCGTTGCGGCGGCAGCGCCATGGCGGCAGCAGGGCTTCTGAAAGTTGTCCTGTTCAACCCGCTGTGCGCCAACACGCGCATCAGAATTGGTAGATCTCGCGCACGAGACTGGCAACAAGGTTCTGATTGGCTTGATTGGAACACAGTTCAAGCGCCGGTGTGAGCTCACCGAGGAAACGAGGACGACAGGTCAGCGCAATTCTGTCGAGGCGGGGTGAACGTGCGGTCGGATCACGAACAGGAGTTGCGGCATCACTCTTCTAATCATAAAATCGAAATCCCCGAGGAAGTGCATCAAGAGAGTTCTCGATGTGCCGAAGTGCATTCATGGCAGCGCACTGGCCATAATTTCGGAATCGCATGGGTTGAATTTTGGAGCTTATTTGGTGCATTTCCCGCAGAGACAGACAAAGAGAGATAGATCCTCTGGAGGACGACAGCGCTACGATCGCAGTGCGGAGCAGATGTCGAAGTGGATTTCGGGGCCGATTGCGGTTATTCGAGACAGAGGCGCAGTACCCATCATCATGACAGATTTGAATGGAGCATTGCCGCACAGCCCACTAGACCTGATATCAGGCGTGCGTGGCGTTGGTAGGATTATTCCAACATCTTCGAGGGTCAGGCCGTATGCAGAAGGATGGTCACTCACCAGTGTGGGCATCTTCCAGGACCTCTCATTTACGTTTGCAAGAAGGGTGGTTTGTTCATAGATCATATGTTTATCCCCAGAAAGATGGTGCAGACACGCAAGTGGGCTAGCGTACTGACAACTTCGGCAAAATGGCTGCAGCGCATCAAATTACGAGAATTAGATATCATCGGCCAACAATTGTTTATAATATTGCAAGATTGATGGTCGAGCCTCCCCCTGGGGTGCCTCCCAGGCCGAATCAACGAGCGTTGTATGAATGTCTTCAAGAGGGGTATAGGCGGGACGAGGTACGTGGAGCTGTGGAGGACGAGGTGAGCAGGATACAGAATGAATGCGGCGCAGCAGCAGCAGGGGACGTCGATATGATGAGCGAGTTGCCTGTAGGTGTTTTAAACAATGCAGCCGTCGACTTGCTTGCTGGGTCCCCATTTTACCATGAGAGCCATGGGCAGCACACCAAGGAGGCTAACACGTCACTAGAAACCAGGAGGGATTTACGAGGATCAGGTGGAGAAGTGCAGGACACAGAGGAACTCGCGAAGCGCATCCAGGAAAATAGCAAGCAGATCAGACAAGCAAACAAAGCGCATTGGCCACAAATCCAAGAGGGTCGTGCCCTGGAGCTCCGAGTAGCAGCGAAGGATCCAAGGATTACCTGGCGCAGGAGCTAGCGAGATTACCTGCCCGTGGGGGGAGAGGGGCCCGGCGCGACTTAGTTGCGGCGATTGTGAACAGCGCTGCGTCTGCCGGAGCGCGGGCTCATCGCGTGCGCTTGAGGCAGTTGACTTGCAAGCGCTCGGCGATTGCGAAGCATCCGATTCAGGCCAAGCAAGAGATAAATCTGGACGAGAGGGAGGCGGTGGAGGAGCCGGCGTTATTCCAAGCGGCGGAAGGTTTGGATAGTTCAACGCGCGATGTCAGCAGATTGTTTTTTTTCTCGCGCGCGTGGCCTGGATGGGCCTGCCACCCGAGCCGCCGCGCCGGGTCGGCGAAGGAGTCGGGCGCGAACGGGAGTTTGTCAAGATCGACCGCTCCAGGGACGCGATGATGGCCCCCGCGGTGACCAGAAGGAAGCACGGGGGACACCCCGCCATGTGGCATGGCGATCATTCAGCACGACCACCCAGGAATGATCATGAGCTACGTTGCGACGGGGAACGGCTGGCCATGGTGATGTGCACTCTAGGCCGAGCTTTTCACGCGGCAGCTCGAGCGCGCATGGGGCCTCGATGGCACCCGTCAAACTGGCTTCGTGGAGGGTTCAGGAGGGGGGGGGGGGGGGCGGCGATGGGCGCGCAGATGGCTGGGTCGCATCGCGCGCAGGCAGCTGGCATCGCACGTGCCCAGAGACGCCACGACGCGACTCACGCGCGCTGCACCAGCAATCACGACATACTCGAGGACAATGCACGTGCATGCTACGCGCCCGTAGATAAAGCAATATATCGTGGATAGGATGCGGCGCAGCGCGTTCTTTCTAGCAGACGATCGTGGCTCTTTTTTGGCAGCGGGCGAAATCGGGGATCTCCCTGGGCGCCGCGGGCGCCGCGCAGCTCTTCCCCCAGAGCTGCGCTGCTTTCAGGCGGCGGACTGCGCGGGCGCCTGCGGCTGGCGCCCTTTCGTCGAAGCTGCCCGCCCCTGGCAGCGTGATTGTCCTGGGCAGTTCGCCCTCGCGCGTCTCTGCGCGCGCGATGTTCCACGCTTGGCGAGCAGCGCGAAACGCCGTATCAGAAATCTGGGGGCGCCAAATCGGCGACATACTCCTGGGGCCGAACTTCAGATGAGACTGGCAGCCCTCGCAGCATCCGGCCATGCCAGTCTCTGTCTCTGGCCCAGCAGCTCCTAGTTCTCGTTGAAACGCACGACGGCCAAGAGCTCGTTGATCGGCGCGGCCCCCTCGGGGCTAGAAGTGGCGGCGCGCGGCGCAGGACCGCTCAGAGAAGCAGATCTGCGTCATTCCCAAAGTTTCGCGATCCAGAAATGCAAGGCCGCAATCCGCGGGGCTGCCAGGTGGGAGGGGGGTCGCTGGTGTCACAAGGGGGGTCCAGGTTCGCCCTGATGTTCTGACAGCAGACAGCCCCTGTTCATGACCGCCGCGTTTGGCCCGCCCAACTTGACTGGCCCGCCCCCGAGATGGGCGAATTGCGGAAGGTGCTCATCCATGGGCCGTCAAGCCCAGCAAGATCTAGACGCGCTTCAGGCTGCGATGTCGGGGTCCAGCATGCACGCGCATCAGGCAGCATTTGCTTTTCTTCTCGCGGGCTGAAGCGAGTTCGCGAAATCCGACATAGATGGGCTCCGCAAAAGGTTTCTCTCACGCACGCCACCGAGAAGTGAGCCCCGGCCGACTCTGGAGGAGATGGCACGATGCGCGGCGCATGATGGCTTACAAGAAAGCTGTCGCACGCGCAGATTTCATCAACGCCAGGAGAGAGTCGCGGTAAACCGCGCGTTGGAAGAGCATCGGCGGTGGCGAACCAGCTAGCATGTCCCGCGTCTCCTGCGCGCGTTATGCCGGCCCCCAAGAGGATCCCTCCTGCCTCGCGCGCCCGCTCTGTCATGGGGCGCCCAGCGCCGTGGTCGACCTGTTCAAGTACCGGCGCGCACGCGTTCAACCTCTTCTTGCACCTTCGTTCTACACGAGAGCTCTGACGAGGTGCCGGGCAGGGCGCCGGCGTCGTGGATTGCGTGCGCGCCATGGCGCGCGAGCAGCGAGCGCGAGAGGCAGCGCGCTCGGAAGAGACGGAGCTCCTTTTGAGAAGTTGAAGGGGAAGGGCGGAGGCGAGGACACGAGTGGCGAGAGGGCGCGGAGGGCGGTGCGACGGCGGCCGCGCGGGCGTTGTTGGCGCGGCGCGAGATTGCATTCAAAGCCAAAAATGCGCACGCTGGAGAACGAGGCGCGCGAGATTGCGCCCAAAGCCAGCAATGCTGCCATCTGGAAGGCCACCAGCGACAGTTCCCAGGCGCTCGCGAGGAAGCGCAAGGGCGCGCGGGTGCGGGGGGGAGATCGGGATGCCAGCGTTCCATTGCCCTGTCGGGGCTATCGACGCTGTCTTGAGCCGCGAGCGCAAGGGGCGGCCCTCCGCGCGTGGCCAGCGCCCCGCTGGCGCCCCAGCGCCCGAAGGAGACGCTAGAGACGGGCGGCCCGACGGGCGCGGAGAAGTGGGCCAGCGCGCATCGCGGATCCGAGGCGCGAGCTGCGAGCCGTCAGCCCGACGGAGCGCCCCGCGGAGATGCATTAGATAAGAGGCGCCTGCGCGCCCGCGGAGACAGTCTTCGGAGAGGCGCCGCGGAGTCCAGGAAATCGGTTTCTCTGAGGTCGGGCGCCGAGGGACTACCTGGTCAGGGATTGGAGGTGGAGCAAAGGGCGCTAGAAAGTGAAGGTCGATGCTGCCCATCGTGAGAGTCGCGCTCCTGAGTTTACGGCACGTGTCACTCTTCAGTTGCTGATCTTAGCGGACGGGAGTCCCATTTTCGCTGGCGACCAGGAGGAATGTTGCGAGGAGTGCGTAGAGGACGCGGTTCGACTCGTTCATGTTGTGCCAGGCCTGCGAGGCGCGAAAGGCCGAATCGCGCCCCTGCGCTGGCCCCAGCTTGCGGGCGTGAGCCTCAGCAGGCCTGCTGATCACCCTAGAAGGGGTGGTATAGGTTGGCATAGCTTCCCCAGCCCAGGGCTCGTTTTCCAGGAGC